AGAAAAAAAAAAAAAAAAAAAAAGCCAGTGGGTGAAATATGTCTAAAAACTCAAAAAGATCTCTAATGTCCTTCATTTTTTGTTATAGCTGGAGAAGTTTAGCATCTCAGCTCATGGAAAAGAATTGTTTGTCAATGCAGACTTATATATTGTAGCTGGGCGCCGATATGGTCTGGTGGGCCCTAATGGGTAGGTGTATGTTATTATAATTATTATATCAATGTTATAATGTCTCCTGTACAAAAGTATTGTGAAACATTTTACAGATTTAAAAAATACACCTAGCGATATAGTGAGACCTTGTTTTAGAGGACTAATTGCAGGGAGTTGGTGTCCATTAATGAATATCTGTTAGGTTGGAGAGCCCACAGTGATTTTCATCATTTATGTAATGTTTCAATCACACGTTTGACCAGCAGAAATGCAAACTATTCCTCCAACATTTCTACAGATAAGGTGTGGAAGAAGAGAAAGGTCTTCAACAGGCATCTAAAACATTTAATAGGAGATACCTCACAAATTACATATGAGGGTGTGCTACCTCTGGAATCCCGACTGTTTTATTTGATTACCCCACCATTTGAAAAAAATGTTCTAATTTGTCCAGTACTAATTTCTTGCTAGGAAAACCATTCCAAAAGGGGAAGTGCGTAGATTGTATTTATCCTCTTTCATCTTCCCCATCCTGCAATACTTGGGAGCGGCATTGATGGTCATCTCCACTGCCTCTTTCATCTGTTCTCTGTCCTTTTCAGGAAGGGCAAAACCACTTTGCTGAAACATATCGCTAACCGGGCCTTGAGCATCCCACCCAATATTGATGTGCTGCTCTGTGAACAAGGTAAAGAAATAACAACAACAAAAAACCTGGCAGCTCTTGGGCTCATTGATCCCTTTTTTGTGTTCATGCTATCCTTCTCCAACCTGGTTTCCTCCAGGAGGATTTGGGCTAAAACTCCTATGTTGCTGGGCTGATGGGATTTGTAATCTAATACAGTTGGAGAGTACCCAGTTGTAGCATGCTGGTCAATCTGGTGTCGTTTCTCTTAGGCAGAGAGAATCTTCTGTTGTCTCTCACTTTAGACTCTTGTAACTCAGGTGACTTTCTGGAATTTGCTGAACTAGCATCAGTCCTGGTTTAGGCATGATAGGAAGCTGAGATTTTCTGATGGATTGTCAGATCTCTTCGCCGCTGAGTTTCCGATCTTTTGATGACATTAAAGCCCATAAGCAGATTATTTATTTATTCATTTGTTTTATTTATTCATCAAATTTGTCACTACCCATCTCGTGAAACGACTCTGGGCGGTTTACAACAAGATAAAAATTCATTAAAATACAACATAAAAACAATCCTAGAAATAAATAAATTCTAAGAAGATAGAAAATTGGCAAATAATTCCAGGGAGCATCATCAGGGGGCTAACCACATGACATTAAAGCCCATAAGCAGATTATTTATTTATTCATTTGTTTTATTTATTCATCAAATTTGTCACTACCCATCTCGTGAAACGACTCTGGGCGGTTTACAACAAGATAAAAATTCATTAAAATACAACATAAAAACAATCCTAGAAATAAATAAATTCTAAGAAGATAGAAAATTGGCAAATAATTCCAGGGAGCATCATCAGGGGGCTAACCACCTCTAGGGGCGGGTAGAGCCCATGTCACCCCAGGCACACTGAGAGCCACATCTTTAAATCTTTTCGGAAAGCCAGTAGGGTAGGGACTGCTACATGTGGAAGACAAGTGTATTGCTTGTCCTTTATTGCAGCCCTATGTGCTATCCTAGAATTCAAAGAGATTATTTTTTCCCTTTGGTTGAAAAATTCTTCAGCATTCCATAAAATCATGCCACGAGACTTAACAGTCCTCTGGTCAAGGAGATTGTCCCTCCATATGGCTTCTTTCCATTTTCTCTTCCTCCTCTTGCTCCTTGCAGAGGTTGTTGCAGATGAGACTCCAGCGGTGCAAGCTGTGCTTAAGGCAGACACCAAGCGGCTGAAGCTGTTGGAGGAAGAGAAGCATCTGCAGACACAGCTGGAGAAAGGGGATGACACCGCAGCAGAGCGCCTGGAAAAGGTACCCAGGAGCCACGACCAGCTTGTTAGTCTTGGTGTGGGGAGGGGTTCTCCATGATTCATTTACGCAGTTCTGGAGTTTGACCGAAAGAGATCATTATCCTGCAGTGACCCCAGCATGTCTTTAGCATGCTCAAAACCCAAGCGTTTAAAAAAACATCTGTAAAATCATCCTTTTATCATGGCAAGCAGTTTTAATCTGGGTTGAATCCTAGCAATGATTCAGATCACATCTCTCACCATAGTCTTGCTCTCAAAGGCTGGGTATGCACACTACACACTTAACTTGGGTTAGCAAAACCTGTAACGTGCTGTGCCCAGACCAGTCATGATGGCCTTTTAGCACAATGTGCTTTTAACACAATTTCAGTATGCTATAGAAACCCAGCTTTTAGCAGCATACTGGAATGCCAACTACCCAACCTTGGTGTAGCATGTTATGTGAACCCAGCTGAAGACTATGTGAAACGTGCCCAGTCTTTTAATAATGTTGGCTTTTGCTGTGGTTGGAGTATTATAGCTACTAGCCCTGTTGGGTCAGTTTGGTACCCCTATGATGAAGAAAAAAGGTGCCTCTCAACATCAGTTGCAGGAATATGAAGTGGACAGAACTGTGGGCATCAGTTGGACTGCTCTAGGAAAAAGATGCTGGACTAAGTACTCCAGACTTTCACAGCCTGGTGTCCTCAGATAGGCTGAGACTGCAACTCTCAGAATTTTCTAAGGTTTTTAGAGAGTTAAATAGGAAATGCTAGTTTCATGTAAGAACCATTCTTCACCCAATCCTACCCTGACCTTAACTCTAGCATCCAGGATGGGCTGATGTTCTTAGTGCCCTTCCTATTTTCCATTGCCAGATCTATGAGGAACTGCGGGCTACGGGAGCAGCAGCAGCAGAGGCCAAAGCACGGAGAATCCTGGCTGGGTTGGGCTTCAACCCTGAGATGCAGAATAGACAAACCAGGAAATTCTCAGGTGGCTGGCGCATGAGGGTGTCCTTGGCCAGGTGATTGTTGAAAGCAGGATATCAACCAGAGGGGTGGGAAATCACAAGTTGGGAACCCTTTCAAAGCAATCTCCCTGCTTCTTCACTCTCCTTATGTTAGTCCATCCTAAGCTAGTTCCCTCCAGTTGGCCATGCTGGCTGGAGATGATGAACACTGCATTTTAACACATCTGGGGAAGACCAGGTTTGGGAAGCCAACTGCTAGATAGACCAATGTTTGGACTTGATAAGAAGCATCTTCCCAATCCCTATTGGTCTTCCTAAAAGTAGAGGGAGATACTGTTTTGGTTTACAGTGGTTGAGTTCACGTGGCAACCAAATCCAACAAAATGATTGTTGTATGCTGTCCAGAGTTGCTTTTTGTGAGATTGGTGGCCATGTAAATGTGATTAAATAAAATCCAAAACTCTGGAAGCTATCTTATGGCTTCGCATCCAAACTGTAGCTTCCAAACTTACCTTCTTTCAGAGAAAAGACCCTAATACTACTTTGTCATTAAATGTGTGATGCTTGCTGATAACATTAGCCAGGGCCTGTGGGTAGCCATTTGGGAATAACTGACTTAGCTGGATTGCCCTGAGTGGATCAAATGTTCAGACTCAGATTAAGAAAGCTTTGTTAATTCACAGTAGTAATAAAAAAAGGGTCATTGCTGAAGTGGGTTGCCATTAATTTCCTCTTCCTTGGCATCTTCCTCTTTGCTACCAACTTCTGATTGCAACTGAGCATGCATTTGCTAAAGTAATCTTTCCTTCTTACCTCTAATACTTTTCTTCTCCTCCATCCCTGCCTCTCCTTAAATGAAGTGCTGGATTTCTTTTTTGCTGGCTACTGGATTTAAGATTCTATAGCATTTCTTCTATGTTGCTTCTGCTCAGTGGAGTATCAATGGCCTTTGTGCTCTGCTCCCTCACTACTTTTTCTGTCTCCTTCCTTGAGTCTCCATTACTCCTAGAACAACCTCTTCCCCCTTCTATTCCCATGAAGCAGAAAGTCCCTTCTTAACCCAAGTTAGGGAGTCCTAAATATCAAGGGCCTTTCTTTTCTCAGAAGCTCATAGTTTCCTTTAATGTGCTTCATAAGAAGTAGAGGCTTTGCAAGTTTATCCCCACCACAGATATTGGTAATCATTTCTTTCTCTCAGAGCCTTGTTCATGGAGCCTACGTTGCTGATGCTTGATGAACCTACCAATCACTTGGATCTCAATGCGGTCATCTGGCTTAATAAGTAAGTCACTAGCTAACCATGCTGGGGAAGAGAAGGTCAGTTGCTCTGGCTTTGGGTCTCCTTCAAGTTATGGGACATTGGTATGGAGCAGATAAATATCTTGGCAAAATCCCAGAAGAACATAGTAAAGATGTATGTGTGGGCCACATTTTAAATGATCTGTAAACAAAGCTTCTTTTGTTCTCATCTTTTGTTTCTCTTAATGACACACACAAGTGGCTCCAACAGCCTATAAAGAGATTGTGTACACATTTGCAAAATTTATTTTGTATAATATATTTCATGCAGTCTTTTGTTTCATTCAGCTTCTATTCTGCCTTTCCATCCATCAGCAGGCACAGGGCAGCTATCAGCCACAAAATGATAATATTTAAAAAGAAAAGTATATATTTGAAAATTGTTTAAAATATACAAAGGCTAAATGAAACAGAAATGATGAAATGTGTCCCTTAATTATTCGGGGGTTCTTTTCTTTAACACTAGCTGTGCCATTCTCCCACTTGCATTCTCAGTAACATGCGCAAATCTCAGACTGAGAGGAGTTAGAGTTATTGAAAGCAATCCTAATGTAGTACAACCACTCTTTATTTAGTGACTACCTCGGTGAGAGACCATTCACAAATATGATGGTAATAAATGGTGATAAAAAAATTCATTTTCCAACCAGTGCAGGAATTTACAACCAAATTTTGTGCCTGACAACAAAAGCCTTCAGTGTGAAACTGATTAAGGTCTGGCTTCAGGCAGCCTCTGAAAGTTCTAATCAACTAATTAAGGTCACACAGCTGAGCTTGTTAACTTGCCCTTAGAACTTTTAGGGACATGCTGCTTTGTGGAGAAAAGCAGTTCATGAAGAGAGAGAGCTTGTTTAAGCAATCTCTCTGCCCTGCGAGGGGGGGAAAAAAACGGGTAAGGCACAGGACACTGTGCAAGAGAACTTTTATCTGAATGAGACAGCAGCATCTCTCTCAGTCACATAGCAGCCATTTCACTTAACAACCAAGTGGTTGGACCAGAACACAGTCGCTAAACAAGAGGGTGTAGTAGTTGTTATAACTATTACGTTTTAATCCCCTTCTATTCCTCTTCTTTCAGCTATCTCCAGACATGGAAGAAAACCCTTCTCATTGTTTCCCATGACCAAGGATTCTTGGATGATGTGTGCACAGATATCATCCACCTGGACATGCAGAAGCTTTTCTACTACCGAGGAAACTATAGTAAGTCGTGATAAGGGTAGGGGAGGATGGCTTTGTGAGATGGGCAGCTATATAAATCGAATTAAATAAATAAATAAGGTGAAAAATACAGGAACAAAGGAGTCCAGCTGGCAAACACATAAAGTATATAATTCTTGGGTTCGTAATGTGGAAATCTGTATCTATTTCAAATCACAAAGTTTGAATGTTTGATTTTAAAATCAGTTTTAAAGAAATTATTTTAACATGACATATCCATTCTTAATTAAATGTCAGGAGTTTTGAATTGCTGAGTCTTCTTTTTGCTGATTGAGAAAATACCCAACATTCCACACCGCCGTGCTTTAGATATTGATCCCATTCCCTGTATCATTACTTAAAGCTGCTGCATGCGACTTATGCATTTTTCCTGCTTTAGGGCAAGAGCCTAGGGCAGAATTCAGTGCTTCATTTCTCCCTTGCAAAGAGAGAATGAAAGGGGGTTGTTGCAAAGATGGCAGAAGACCCAGTGCATGGCTGCTAGAAAAGCCTCTGGGATGCTGCTGTTTTAGGGGCCACCTTAGCTTTAATGAGTTGCTCTCTTCAAAGAGCTGTAATATATTTTTTTCAGACTTCTTTGGAAGCCTGAAGAATGAGAGGCTGCTTTAAAGAATAGGTTCTGGGCTCATGCTTGGGTGAGGTTCAAAATACTGTTTCCGAAATATTTACCAGCGCGCATGGTCCTAAGCGTGCCTAAGCAAGTCTTGTTATGGGCTCTACCCCCTCGCCAAATTCTCTGCATTAGTCCCTAATGGAATGGATCAACATTCCAGAAGAGGAGAAGAAGGGACTGCAATGGGTGAAGCAAACTGGGATTTGGATCATAAAAATGAATCAAATATATTTTGGAGCCAAAATAATAATCCCAGACTTCAGATCTTTAGATGCCTGAGGCCATGGTCTAACAGGGAAGGGAGATCTGAGGTGGCCAGGAGTACACTGAATGTGCTCCTTGTCATCCTCTTCTTTGGTTCTAAGCATCGATATTTTCCCCTTGATTCTGTTTGATGGCTTGGGGGTGTCTCTTTTAAAAAAAAAAAAAGGTAGAATTATTTGTTTTCTTGCAGAGTCAGGGCCAACTGTAGATTAACGAGCAGAAGTCTGCCTCTTCCCCTGTTCAGTGATACCAATCTGTTGAATGAGGGGGGATGGGGAAATAGATTCACCTCGGTGTTGCATTTTGTCACTTTCTCTGACAGTGACTTTCAAGAAGATGTATCAGCAGAAACAGAAGGAGCTGCTCAAACAGTATGAGAAGCAAGAGAAGAAGCTCAAAGACCTGAAGGCTGGGGGAAAGTCGACAAAGCAGGCAGTAAGTGTTTAGCTGTGCCAAGATATAGGCTTAGAAATCTTGAGCAGTTACAGTCTTCTCTACGCCTCCTCTTAGCTAAAGTAGTCTGAGGAAGCAGGACAGTTATGCTGAATTAAATCTGGAACTAGATGCTTCAGTATTTTTCTTGCTTCCATTCTGTGGATATCAAAACTACAATACAGGTAGTCCTCATTTAGCGACCACAATTGGGACCAGCAACTCGGTCGTTAAGCAAAGTGGTCACTAAGTGAAACCGCAACTGTGCTTATGATCTTACTTTAACTTTCCTTTGCTTTATAGACCTGCAAAGGTCATAAATGCGAGGATTGGTCATAAAGTTACTTTTTCATCACTGTCATACTTGCAAATGGTTACCAAATGAGGCAGTCACTAAATGAGGACTTTCTGTAATCCTTATAAAAAATCTCACCTTGAGTTCTCTGAGGTTAGGCCAAGACTCTTCTTCCAGCAGGAAAACTGAGAGAAGATTGACTCTCATAAGTAAGTTTGCTGTTTTGTGTGGGCTTACTTGATCACAGCAGAGCTTACATCTGAGAGAGTGTACAAACAAAGGCACTTTGCAATTCTTGGTGCTCTCTGAGCTTGGCTGTTTGCTTGCAGATGTTTCGTTACCCAACTAGGTAACATCATCAGCACGTTTCAGCGTTCTGACATTCCTGTTAATTGGGAATGCTACCTAATACAGCTGTACCTTTTAATCTGGGAGATGTACCCTGAAACCCCTTCTGACTGTGCTAACAGAATAGGCCGTCCCGTTTTCGGCCCGTTTGAGGTGGGAAAATCTGAGATCGTTCATGAGAAGAGCTAACTCCCACTCTGTCAGAAATACTGAGTCCTGCCCACGTGGTGCTATCGGAATTCCCGCCATGGCTCTCGGCGCTGAAGGAAAATACCCTCCCTTTTGAAAAAGATGTTTCTGTCCTCCATCTGTCTCCCCCACCCACCCCCCGTATGCACAAGAGCCCGTTCCTCCTCTAACCTGCCTTGCTTGGCCCAGGAAAAGCAGACCAAGGAGGCCCTGACGCGGAAGCAACAGAAATGCCGCAAGAAGAACACGGACGAAGAGTCCATCGAGGCCCCTGAGCTCCTGAAGCGGCCAAAGGAATACACTGTGAAGTTCACCTTTCCAGACCCACCACCTCTTGCCCCACCCATATTGGGCCTCCACGGTACGGGGCTTCTCTTTCGGCAGGGCAAATTGTAAGGAAGGGGGTGCAGGGGAGGGATTCGGGGCCTGCAGAGGGATGAGTGACTTCCTAAAAAATACTCTTCCAAAGTATCAGCTGTTCTGAACTCTATTTCCTTTTTCTTCAAGTCATTAAAAGAGGGGGAGGGAATCTGAACTTCTGACTGTTGCTAAACTACCATTCCCAGTATCCCTTGCTACTGACCAGGCTGGCCAAGGCAGCTGGGACTTACAGCCCAGCAAGATCTGCAGGGGAGGAGTGCTTGACTTCTTGGGGGTTGAGCCCTTCTACCTGGCAGCCATGTGACTTCAGTTCAGTTCCTGCCTTGGTTCTTGCCGATCCAAGGGGGCCAGGTCAGGATATTGCCTGTGGATTGCTAACGGATGCAGAAATAACTGGAGAAATTTTGCTTCCCCAATGCTGGAAAATTGGAAGAATAACAGGGTGTCTGCATAGGCCAAGGATTGTATCAATAGGATGAGCATATATGTCATCTTTAGGAATTGGGAAGGGGGAGGGGATCAGGTACCTGGGGCACTATTGGATGACTTCTGGTTTGGGGTTCCTCGTAGCCCCTGCCCAGAGGGAGAAGCTGCCTTCGTAACCGCTGCAACGCAGGCACGCGGGGTCTGCATGCCAGGGAGGTTTTCAGGACAGAAGCTGGAGGCATCTTCAACAGAGAGTGGAGAGCTATGCAGTACTTTTCAGAACATAAGTTACTGATCTCTCAAAATTTAAATTGTTATCTGCCAGGGATAGGGGCCCCAGAGCAGTTTGTATACAATCAGCGGGTCGGTTCAAAGCAAAGTCTAATCCCTTGCTTTGAGGCTCTCAGTCCAGAAGACATGATCAAGATGGGATGGGGAAGAATGAGCTAAAAAACCGCAACAACTCAGGTCCAAATTCTTAAATGTTCAGTCAAAGTTCTGCTATTATGACCAGCTGGGCTCAGAACTGGTCTTTCAGTCTGACTGTTCTTCCATTGTTCATCTAAACTTTGCTTTCGTGTTCTTGAGGAAGCACTTTTCCTTTGGATCCTTACCTCCTTGTTTCTCTTTTAGGTGTGGACTTCAGTTATGAAGGGCAGAAGCCCCTTTTCAAAAATTTGGACTTTGGGATTGACATGGAATCGCGAAGTAAGTGATGTGGAAGGAGAGAAGAGACAGAGATATGTGTATCACTTGCGTTTCTTGGTTTCTAAGGGGAAATCCTCATCAGGACTTTCTCTTTTTAATAATTCAAAAATGTTGCAGCTGGGAAAAATCACTTCTGGCTCCTGCTTTTGATTTAGTTGGCTTTATTGAAACATGGCGGGGGGGGGGGGGGGGGGAGTCAGTTTCCTAAAAACGCTGTCTGCCTGGCACTGTCTTGTTACTAAGGATAATCCCTTCTCCTTCCCTTTTTTCTGCCTCTCAGTCTGTATCGTGGGCCCCAATGGGGTGGGGAAAAGTACACTGCTGTTGCTGTTAACTGGGAAGCTTACACCGGTAAGTACCGTCTATTCAATCTTTGGCTCCTCTTGATGTTGATTGTCCTTGCCTGAGATTTCCTTTTCTGTGTTTTGGACCCCATTGATAGAGCCCCAGATTAGTGCAATCAATTATTGCGGAGAAGTGGTAGTATGAGTCCATTAAAAATCACTTCTGCTTTAATCTGATGGGATTGCAGAGTAGAGAACCAAGGCATGGTAACTTCCTGTTTTCTTTTTCTTTTTATCTTTCCAGACCAGAGGAGAAATGAGGAAAAACCACAGGCTAGTAAGTGTTGGTGAGATTTCAGTTGGGATGTTGTGGGAAGGCAATGTATGATTTGAAGGGGGTTATATTGGAGTGGAAAGCAGACTAGAAGTCAGGTTGGGGAGCCTTTGATTGTAGGAAGCAGTGCACACATACAGTTGTTCTCTGATGGTGTACTCTGCTTGGAGAGGGGATGGTTTGACTGCAGGATATCCAATATACATTTTGGCCTTTTACATTTTAGGATGTCTGCACGCAGCATGTTTACTCATGTCCTCAACTTGGTGGCTGATATCCAGAGTGAGATATTATCACACAGTTTAGAGACTGTGGTTTCAGGACAGCACCATGTCCTAAATTAGAATTAGACAACCTAGTTATTTCCTATCCAGTGTTTTGGATTCTACCTCACATCACCCCAGCCAGCATGAGTCAGTGGCAAGGGACTGTGGTAGTTCTGGTCCAGAATATTTGAAAGGCACCTGTCAGCCTTAATCCTGGCCAAAATGAGTTGGATGAAATCGAAATGGAAAGGATTTCAGAAGGAGAATCACAGAATACACCCTGAAATGTCAGCTGTGGCCTTGGGGGGTATGAATGATGTGAGGCAAATCTGAGTACCTGTTTGAGTGAGGCTTCGTCCAATTTTCCCTTTTTCTCCTGGTAGAAAGTTGGCTTCTTCAACCAGCAGTACGCCGATCAGTTGAATATGCAGGAAACGGCAACAGAATATCTCCAGCGCAATTTCAACCTGCCCTATCAAGATGCCCGTAAATGTCTGGGGCGGTTTGGCCTTGAGAGCCATGCCCACACCATCCAGATTTGCAAGCTGTCTGGTATGGGAAGCATTTCTTGAGAGAAGGGAAGAGGGGATGGTGGATCAAGAGCTTCACAAGAAAGGATGGGGGCTGCTAGCATAGCTTTCCCTGCTTTGGCACGTTCCAGATGTGTTGGATGATAAAAGTTATAACCCATCACAACTGGAGGGCACCACGTATTGGAGCTTTAGTGCATGATCGTTCATCTATGCCTTGAGCAAGCAGGCTGGAGGGGTGGGTGGATGTTGCTCAACGCTGACAGCCTTCAAAAGGGACTCGGTGGGGTCTTGCAAAGCGCAGAAGCTCTGACCCTATGCCCTCTTCTTCCAAATGTCCTGTCCTTTCAAATGCTGGCAGGCAAGATTCTATCCTCATCAGCTTTGGGGAACCAGGCATGTTCCTGCTAATCTTCTCATTCTTCCTCTCACTCTCTTGTTTTTTTTCCTATTACCAGGGGGACAAAAAGCTCGTGTAGTATTTGCTGAACTGGCTTGTAGAGAGCCAGACGTCCTAATTTTGGTGAGTTTTAGTCTGTCTATAATAATCTATATTGAAGTCTATAGTATTTTCCCCCCAGGAAACCCAAATCATCATCTTGTCTCCTTCAGCACTAGCATGTTTCATAGGGTATCAGCACTATTGTCCCATTGTAGAAGCCAAGAACAATAAAAAGCCAAGAGTACTATAAATGTATCTTAATTCCCTTTCCCCCAGGATGAACCTACAAATAACCTGGATATTGAATCAATTGATGCCTTGGGCGATGCCATCAATGACTATAAAGGGGGTGAGTGAAAACTCATTGGCTCTGAATTCCTTCTAAAAGAATGTGGTGATAGTAGATATGTGACCCATCATGCCCATTTCTCTTTGCTGTTCTTACCATGATATGGTCCTTACAAATTTGATAGGTGGTACCGAAAGCAGAAAGGACCAGGCATTCCTAAAGTGACGTTGGGTTATTGCCTTTGTCCTGTATAATCTCTTACATTTGAGGTAGGGTTGTCACTATAAAACATCTCTGCTCTATCCCATCACTTCCCAGGATGGGAAAGATGGAAGATGACAGGCAACATCTTTACATAAGAGTGATCAGTTTTTGGTTGAGGCTCTATGAATGCCAGATCTAGTGAACTTCTTCAGCAATGAATGGATCAGAGCTGATTAACTGAATAATTTATGCACAACACAATTGAAGCAGCAATGCACAGCCACACTGGCCTTTGCTGCACATTGTGAGGGCAGCGTCCTAAACATAGAGAGGGCTTAGACCTCACTTTTTGAGTTTCTGTTGGGATTCTTAAGAGAGAGAATGGTTCCTTAAGCCCCTGTAAGGGTTAAGATACCTATGTTAATCCTTAATTCCCCCAGGCCTGCAAAAAAATATGTAAAGATAAGCCACACTTTTAGGCTTGCTCCTTCTGGTGGCCACCAAAGAAGTGTTGGTGGGCTGCATTTTTTGCACCCTGGACCTAGGAAATTTGCTACCTTAAGGAATAAGAATTGCTTTTTTAATGATTAGATAAGTTTTGGGGAGCTTATCTGAGGGAAGAAGAAATCACCAGTTTGCCTGCCTCTGCTTTAGTAACTCATATCACACTGGCAGTGGCTGGTGTATGTTCAATTCCAAATGGCACTCTCTGGGCAGCTCTTGAAAACAAAGAGTGCATCCAAGGAAGACATTTTTTTTATGGTGGCTTAAGGTCTTGCTAACTGTTCTTTCTCTTCCAGCTGTGATCATTGTCAGCCATGATGCTCGGCTTATCACGGAGACCAACTGCCATCTGTGGGTGGTGGAGGACCAGACAGTCAACCAGATTGATGGCGACTTTGAAGACTACAAACGTGAAGTGTTGGAAGCCTTGGGTGAAGTCCTTGTCAATCGACCCAGAGAATGAGGCTGAAAGAGGTGGAGTCTCCAGAACATGCACAGCCTCTTTCCATTTTTCTAGTGGAAGCTGCGCCCTCTCAAGAAGCAGGGCTTTATTTATGTGACATGGAGGGACAGATTTGAACATGTGCAAGAAACTAAAAACTCTTGTTCTTTAACTCTTTTTCCCTTCCTCTCCCACCTGCAGGGAAGTGAACTTATCAAATGGTTAATAAAGGGTGTGGTTGGGTGGGTGTCTCATAATGACTTCTTTTTCCCCAAGCAGACATTTTGGAAGACCACTCTCATTTTACAAATCTCCTTTCTCCTCTCCTTCCGCTATTTTTGGGAATAGTTGGAACACAGACATGTAAACTTATTAAATTAAAATGTGACAGTCACTCTTGTGGATGGAGTTCCTTGATTTCTTATGTTTTGGACAGTAGATGCCAAGAAAAACTAGTGGCTTACCCATAACTGTAGCTCTTCAAGTTGCCCTTTTGCAGTGGGTATTGTTTTCAGTCATTGGAAGACACCCACTATAAATCTGTGGAGACCCTACCTCAAG